AGCACACACAGGAACCACACAGCACACACAGGAACCACACAGCACACACACAGGAACCACACAGCACACACAGGAACACACAAAGACAACACAAGAACACACACACCACACACACACAGGAACACACAGGAACACACAAAGACAACACAGAAACCACACAGCACACACAGGAACCACACAGCACACACAGGAACACACATGAACCACACAGCACACACACAGGAACACACAAAGACAACACAGGAACCACACAACACACACAGGAACCACACAGCACACACAGGAACACACAGCACACACACATGAACCACACAGCACACACACAGGAACACACAAAGACAACACAGGAACCACACAACACACACAGGAACACACAGCACACACACATGAAACCACACAGCACACACACAGGAACCACACAGCACACACAGAAACCACACAGCACACACAGGAACCACACAGCACACACAGGAACCACACAGCACACACAGGAACCACACAGCACACACAGGAACCACACAGCACACACAGGAAAGCCACAACAGCACACAGCACAGCGAACACGCCAAAGACAACACAGAAACCACACAGCACACACAGGAACACACAGCACACACAGCACACACAGCCACACACAGGAACACGCAAAGACAACACAGGAACACACACACCACACACAGCACACGCATAAACACACACAGAACACCATGAAGACGACCACGTACCCGCAGGCCTTCACGGAGTAGTTGGGGTTCCACCTGTTCACGGCGAACTCCTGCTTGCAGCTGATCGTGACAGACGACGGACACTTTACTGACTCTTACTATCTCCCTTACACCTTTTTCCCTCCAATCTTGTTTAATACTCCTCTTCCCATTCTTCCGCCCCCTATCTAGTCCTTGCCCATACCCTTCCTCTCCCCACCTGCCCCAATACCTCTCTCATCTCCGCGGCTCCGCTACTCTCGCTCTCCTCTCCTCACCTCTCACTCACACTCAGACGCAACCTATCCACAGCCTAACATCTGTCTTCCTCTAATACTTGACTAACTCTTTCCCTCCAACCCCACCACCCTCATTCCATCACCTTCACTCCCTCATAACCACCTCTCCCCACTCGTATATCCCACTTCCCATCATGCTTTTCCTCCCTCGATTCCACCTTAACGCGCACTTCACCTTTCCGCCTCGTCCACTCTCCTCACCTCCAACCCGCGATCCTTACTAATCTTACTGACCACCATCCGCCTCCTACTCTCCCTATCACAACTCTTGTCCCCACCATCTACCCTACTTCCCCTGCTGCACTTCCCTTGACCCTCATCTCTCCTTATAAATAATACCCTGAACCCCAGCCTTCACATATCCTTCTCCCCCTAATCTTCCCGCCACCTCCCTCTACTTCTCTTTCTCATGACCTTATTTTACACCTTCCATCTCCCTTATGACTCGCCCACCCTCGTCATGTGAACGAGCGACCACGTTGCAAGTGTTCGGCGAGATGTGACAGATCGGGGAGTTCGAGAGAACTTCATGAGCATGCACACGTCCTCGGGAATCTGGTTTGAACATCATCGCAATGTCTAACCGAAACTACCGTCTGCGAACAATGCAAAGAACGTCAATGTGAACAATGCAAGGAACGTCAGTGAACAATGCAAGGAACGTCAGTGAACAACGCAAGGAACGTCAGTGAACAATGCAAGGAACGTCAGTGAACAATGCAAAGAACGTCAGTGAACAACACAAGGAACATCAGTGAACAATGCAAGGAACGTCAGTGAACATCATCGGCATCTGCGAACAATGCAAGGAACGTCAGTGAACAATGCAAGGAATGCCAGTGAACAATGCAAGGAATGTCAGTGAACAACACAAGGAACGTCAGTGAACAATGCAAGAAACGTCAGTGAACAATGCAAGGAACGTCAGTGAACATCATCGGTGTCTGCGAACAACGCAAAGAACGTCAGTGAACAACGCGAACAACTGTGAAATGCCACGTCTCGTATTGCTTGTATTATATTATATTGGTATTGTACCGTGTTTTAGTTGTATTATATTGTATTGTATTGTATTTTATTATTTTATATTGTATAGTAATGTGCTGTATTGCATTACATTGGTATTATATTGCATTGAATTGTACTATACGGTATTAAATTGTAATATGTAAAAACTTCCCAAAATGCGATGAGTATTAAAATAATCGCGTGCACGTACATAAATAACCCCTGATAGTTAAACAGTCAGTTTAACAGTTTCCCACTATATTATTCCCAGTAGTGACAATTAGATGCGGTAAGCGCGGTTGCCACGACGACTTACGACGTGCATGGCTGAGCGTCTGGACAGATGTGGTTCCGTGAGCAGCTGGCAGGGCGTCTGCCCAAAGTTCTTGATCTGACCTTCAACGGCCTGAAAGCACGCAAAATGAGAATTTTTTTACATCTGCTGCTGAACGTGGTTACAGGTGGTCTGTTGTTCCCATAGCAATGCGCGCACCCCATGTTAATAAATCGAGTAATTAATTGCTGCTATTTTGTGCGTGGTAGTGAGAATTCTTCTTCTTCTTCATCTTTTATCCCATCTTCTGTCTTCTTCTACTTTTCATTACTATTATTACCATTATTATTATTATTGTTGTTGTTGTTTATTATCATATTTACTCTACTATATTATTATCATCATCAATCATCGATCATCATCATCATTCATCATCATCGATCATCATCATCATCATCATCATTCATCGATCATTCAATACATCATCGATCATCATCCATTATCATCAATCATCAGATCATCATCATCATCATCATCAGCATCACACGTGTCTCGCGGCGTCTCACCTGTCTCATGACGGGGTCATCGATGTCCTCCAGGTCTACGCTGCCGTCGTACGTCAGGATAGTAGAACAGTTGTCGCGCGCACCGCCCTCAGGAACCCTAGTGTAACAACGTACGCACGGCGTTAGTAACACACCAGCGCACGCACGCACGCACGGCACCGCCTCAGACCTGTGTAACAACGTTACGACACGGGTTAGTAACACGACACGCACGCACGCACGCACGCACCGCCTAGGACCTTGTGTAACAACGTACGCCGGCGTTAGTTAACACACACGGCACGCACGCACGCCACGCACGACACGCGGCACGCACGCACGCACTGCGCCGCGCACGCCACGCACGCACGCAGCGCACGCACGCGCGCACACCACCGCCTCACGGGAACCTGTGCTAAACAACGTACGCACGGGTTAGTAACACACACGCACGCACGCGACGCACGCGCGCACGCACACACGCACGCACACACGCACGCACGCAACACGCACGCACGCACGCAAGCACTCGACCTCAGGACCTGTGTAACATAACGCGACGCACGGGTTAGTCACACGCACGCACGCACGCATGCACACAGACACACGCACCGCCTCAGGACCTGTGTAACAACGTACGCACGGGTTAGTAACACGCACGCACGCACGCACGCACGCACCGCCTCAGGACCTGTGTAACAAACGTCACCACGGTTAGTAACTACGCTACGCTCGCACGCACGCACGCGCGCACGCACGCACGGCGCGCACGCACACACGCACGCACACACGCCACGCCACGTAACACACGCCAACGCCGACCCGGCAGCACCGCTCAGGCACCTGTTAACAACGTACGCACGGGTTAGTAACACGCACGGCAGCGCACGCACACACACGCACACACACACACACACGCACGCACGCACGCACACACGCGCACACACACGCACGCACGCACCGCCTCAGGACCTGTGTAACGTAGACATGGGTTAGTCACACACACGCGCACACACACACGCAAGCATGCATGCACACACGCACGCACTCACTCACGCACTCACGCACGAACGCACACACACCCTCCCTTCCTTCTCCCTCCACCTCTTCTCTCTCTCCCCTCCCACCTCCTCTGCCTCCTCCTTTTTCTCCCACTCCTCCTCCCTCATCCTCACCACCTCCTCCCTCACCATCTCCTCCCTCCCCCACTTCCTTCTCCCCCTCCCTCCTCCCTCATCCTCACCACCTCATCCTCACCACCTCATCCTCACCACCTCCTCCTCCCCCCTCCTCCTCCCCCCTCCCTCCTCCCCCCTCCCTCCTCCCCCCTCCCTCCACCTCCCCCCCTCCTCCCTCATCCTCACCTCTCTGCTTGTAGCCGAACACGAGATCGATCCACTGGTGAAGCTGCGAGGAGACGAACTCGGACTCGAGCGCGAGGCGGTTTGTGCGTATGAAGTCGTCCGCGGTATGAGCCCTGCCACGGCGCAGCCAGCGCCACGTCGCGATGAATGGTGTCGGCTCCTCGCGGCAGCCGAGCTTGTAGCCGCTGCTGTTCGCGAGCATCTCCGGCAAGTAGTAGAAACTCTGGGCGTAAAGCTCCTGATGACAGGCGATAACATAAGAGTGATATAGTGACATAGTGACATAGTGATATAGTGACATAGCTGCACATATTACATAGTGACATAGCTGACATAGTGATATAGTGACATAGTGCGACATCTAGTGATTATTGAGTGAGCATAGCTGACATAGCTGATATAGTGACATAGTGACATAGTGACATAGCTGACAAGTGACATAGTTAAGGCAGTAGTAGAACTCTGGGGCTAAGCTCCTGATGACAGGGATAAAACATAGTGACATAGAGATATTATGAGCATAGAGACATAGTGACATAGTAATATAGTGCATATATGACACTGAGTGACATAGAGACATAGAACATAGTGACATAAGTGACATAGTTGACATCAGTGACATGTGACATAGAGACATAGGAGACCATAGTGACATAGTAATATAGTGATATAGTGACATTAGTGACATATGACATCAGAGACATAGAGACATAGTGACATAGCTGCAACATAGTGACATAGTGACATAGTAATAAGGCAGGGTAGTAGAACTCAGAGGGCTCCTGTATGAACAGAGCAGACATGGTGATTAGTTAATAACATGGTAGATGAACAGTAGCATATATATATATATAATATATTATATATATATATATATAAAACAATATATATAAACGATAATTTATCGACAGTTATGTTATATTATTATTCCAAACAGAGCATACATTCCTTGTCCTTTAGCACGTAATCTACCCACATAATCGCCCTATAGCATTATAACATAGTGTATGTACAGTCCTACAGCGCCACCCACCCCTGCAGCGAAATTTTTTTCCCCACTGAGTTCCGGACACAGCCAATCAGAGCACTCCATTCACTCGGACTTCTTCGAAGCAACAATGTAAATAAAATTAATACCACCTATCCCTAACCATAACCCTAACTATAACTCCAACCATATATATATACGAACCATATTATTACAAAACACTATCTATGCCGTGGGTCCGGAACTCAAGTGGGAAAAAAAATTCCGCCCCCTGCCCGCCGCCCGCCCCTCACCTTCACGTCTGACGTGTCGGCCTGGCAGTTCTCCCACGCGATGGGGATGGAGGAGAAGATGCGGTTAGCGTGGTCGAACTTTCCTCCCTGCAGGTTCAGCAGCACCGTCGTGAAGGGCTCCTGCAACACCAACCAACACCCAACGGTGCAATCATTGGTCAATGTTAACTCAAATTACTGTCACTCTTACACTCGTGAATGACATTTTGGAGGTATCATATTAGTTAAGCAGTTAATAGACAAATCTGTTAACAAAATGAAACCAGATGAAACCAAATGAACAGAAGCGATGGAGGGGCAAATGATAGATTAGTGGACATCGAGGAGGCGATACTAGAAGACTCTGGGTAGAGAAATGAGGATGGTGTCACGTCGAGGCACATATACACATAAACGTGTGAGGTTATTGTGTGCTAGCGATATTAGAAGTTTTCAAAATTTATTGAATGTAGAAATAATACAGTGAAACACCACCCTGTGTCAATCTCTCTCTCTCTCTCTCTTACGGCCTCTCTCTTTCTCTCTCCCTCTCTCTCTCTCTCTCTCTCATCTCTCTCTCTTCTCTCTCTCTCTCTCTCTCTCTCTCTCTCTCTCTCTTACGGCCTCTCTACTTTCTCTCTCCCCTCCGTCCCCTCTCCTCTCTCACTCTCATGCTCCCTCTTCTGCTCTCTCTCTCTCTCTCTCTCTCTCTCTCTTCTCTCTCTCTCTCTCTCTCTCTCTCTCTCTTCTCTCTCTCTCTCTCTCTTACGGCCTCTCTCTTTCTCTCTCCCTCTCTCCACCTCCGTCCCCTCTCCTCTCTCACTCTCATGCTCCCTCTCTCTCTCTTCTCTCTCTCTCTCGACCCTTCTCTCCTCCTCCACCTTCTCTAGGTTCCCACCAGTCTCATGAGCCAGTTGAGTGTGAAGGCAGCGGTGGAGTAATGCGTGCCATAGTGGAAAGGCGGAATCTGATCGTGTTCCCACGTCTCGTAGCGCTCCTGGAAGAACTCCCGCCTCTTTTCGTTCAGCGCTCCCACCGGCTGCAAGATTACCACGCACACGCAGATTACTCTCACATGTTACCTTCAAGGAAAGTTACCTACAAAAGTTACCTACAAAAGTTACCTACAAAGTACCTACACAAGTTACCTACAAAAGTTACCTAACAAAGGTTACTTTCATGATGTTTCCTAAGATGTTATCGGTCTTGGAAATTATATCATAAAAGGAATTGGAAGTTATCTTTATTTTATCCTTTAAGTCTGAAAAACCCATGCATAGGGTCTACTGGCATTTTGAACATTTTGCTTTCTACTATATAGCCCGTGCCGTAAAATTAATAAACGAGGGCTTACTCTTAAATTAACTTATCATTTTAATGTCAAGGTGATGCCATTTGTCAAGGCCCTTAACGCTGTGTTACGCGTACCTTTGACAGGTCGCTATAGATTGCTGAGTACGCATAACTTTTACAGGTCGCTAGCAGATGCTGGCGTTAATGGCCGTACCTTGACAGGTCGCTATAGATGCTGGGACTTACGCGGTACCTTGACAGGCGGTCGCTATAGATGCTGTCAGTTACTGCGTACCTTTGACAGGTCGCCTATAAGATGCTGGAGTTAACGCGATACCTTTGACAGGTCGCCTATAGATGGCTTGGAGGTTACGCGCTAACTTTACAGGTCGCTACAGATGCTCCCGGGTTTATGCGTTACCTTGACAGGTCGCTATAAGATGCTTGGATGGTACGCGTACCTTTGCACAGCGTCGTATAGATGCTGGAGTTACGCCGTACCTTTGACAGGTCCGCTATAGATGCGTGGAGCTACGCGACTTTGACAGGTCGCTATAGCGATGCTGGAGTTACGCGCTACCTGTGACAGCGTCGCTATAAGATGCTGGAAAGTACGCGTACCTTTGACAGCGTCGCTATAGATGCGGTGCTTACGCGTACCTTTGACAGGTCGCTGATAGATGCTGGTGTTACGCGTACCTTTGACAGGTCCCTATAGCATGCTGGAGTTACGCTACCTTGTGACAGGTCGACCTATAGGATGCTGGCCGCTTGACGCCGTATTTGACAGGTCGCTATAGATGCTAGAGTTACGCGTACCTTTGACAGGTCGCTATAGATGCTGGCGCGGTAACGCCGTACCTTTGAACAGCATCGCTATAGAGGCAGGTGTTACGCGTATCTTTGACAGCTCGCTTATAGATGCTGGAGTTACGCGTACCTTTGACAGATCGCTATAAGAGCCTGGGAAGTTACGCGTATCTGTTGACAGGGGTCCGTATAGATTGCTGGCGTTACGCGTACCTTTGACAGCGTCGCGTATAGATGCCTGGAGTACGCGCTCCTTTGGACCCAGATCGCTATAGATGCGCTGGAGTTACGCGTACTTTGACAGGTCAGTCTCGCTCATAGATGATGGAGTTACACGTACCTTGAAGATCGCTATAGCATGCTGGTGTTACGCGTACTTGACAAGGTCGCTATAGATTGCGGAGTTACGCGTACCTTTGACAGGTCCGCTATAGATGATGGTGTTAACACGTACCTTTGACAGCATCCCTATAGATGCTAGAGTTGACGCGTACCTTTGACAAGATCGCTATAGATGTGGAGTTACGCCGTACCTTTGACAGTCGCTATTAGTGCTGGAGTTCACGCGTACTCTTTGCATTTCGCTACTAGATGCTGGCGTTACGCGTACCTTTGACAGGTCGCTATAGATGCTGGCGTTACGCGTACCTTTGACAGATCCCTATAGATGCTGGAGTTACGCGTATCTTTGACAGGTCGCTATAGCGGATGCTGGTGTTATGCGTACCTTTGACAGCCGTGCCTATAGATGCTGTATTATGCGTACCTTGACAGGTCCCTATAGATGCTGGCCTGAGTGAGATCCAGTTCCTTTGACGTGTAGTCGGTGAGCACCCACGGGAACACGGGATACTGGTTCAGGTCCTGGTACGTCCTCCCTGCGGGGAAAACAGATGGGTTCTCCTACGTCAGACGCTCGACGGATCTCATGTTTGTTAACGTGATGTGAACAGAGCATATCGAAATGACATTATTATATATATGTATTATGTGTATATATATATATACAGTGTAGCCCCGTTATAACGCGATGTTGGGGTCCATAAAATGTCATCGCGAAAAAAAAACGAGGTCGCACGTAAAACGGGGGGTTATATAATCATACGGTGGCCTATAATAAGAGCAAAAATGGGGGGTCCAACGACTCTTCGCGTTAAATGTATATATATATATATATATATATATATATATATATATAGATAGATAGATATTACATATCAAAATCCAAAACAAAAGAAGCGAAGACTATCAGTGATAATTGAGAGGATCGAACGTAGATGGCGCCACTCACCGGCGATCGTGTTGAGAAACATGAGATACTCAAAGTTGGAGATGTCGCGTTGCTGCCACTTCTGCGTCATGTTCGAAGCCTTGAAGAGCGTCGGCGGAGACATCAACGACGCCCTCCTGTGGCAAGAAAGACAAACGTTTACCGCCGGGACACGACCAAAATGCCCAAGTCTATCACATTCTACAGACTGAGATCTATTTAACTTCACCGTCAAACTATATTTTTGCTACGTGAATAATATTGGTCTGGTAAAAATCCTTGTAAGCAGAGTAAAATAACATTTTATAAAACATTACATTGAAGCAATCAGAGCACTCAAAATAGAGTTCATCAGTACGGATTCTTATCTCATTTTTAACCAATCAGAGGACATAGATAAAAGATAAGAGTTTTAATCAAATTTAATACAGTTTTCTTTAGGTTACTAATATTACTTACTTAAGTCTTACCTACGATGAACGTACAATACAGTTCATCGATATAGATTATAAGATATACAATCTCATTTCTAGCCAATCAGATCGCAGCGTCGCGGCGTGTGCGTACCTGGTCTGCGGGATGCCATATTTGACGCCGACGCCGACGCGTGGTAATGCGTTCACCACCTTCTTCACGGTGGCGTGATTGTGGAAGGCAAACATGACGGACGCTGCGAGAGAAACACAAGAACGTGCTCGTCGAAGATCAACCCAAGCGATGAAAACATATTTAAAATACTAGGCACTCGTGAGAACACAGACCTCACGCGCCAAGGAAGCTGAAGACTCTTAATGTGAAATTTTTTATTAATTAATTAGTTAATTAAGCTGGAAAATTAATTAATGAATTAATTAATTAAATAATTAATTGGCATCCGGATTAAAAGTGCGAAGCGCTGCAGGTGGGGGAGGACTGTGGTTGCCCTTAGCCTGTGGTGCGTGTATTTGTAAGTCTACAAAGCCAGCGCACCTAGCGGAAGTGAACTGAGACGTGCATGGCTAACCACACAAACCACAAACCACACAAACCAACACTTCAAAGACACGGCGGCTGAAAAATAACCTCCGCAAGCCCTGGCCGAGGTAATAAAACTGCTACCGCAGAGAACCCCCACAGAAGTGTCCTTACAGACAGATGTTTCATTCTCTAGCAGTGATTTCACTGTATTAACTGCTACTTAATGTACACCGCAAGTGTCCTTTATAGACAGGTGGCTGTTCTATACAGGTGGCTGTTCTATACAGTTGGCTTCACTACATAACAGTCTCTCAAGGGAAACCTCAAAAAGTGACATTTACAGACATCGTACTAGTCCCGTTTAGTGTGCGTCCGACAGGAAAATTTTTTTTAAAAGCGCGGCCGAAAAGCCCCCCCCAAACACAGCGTACGAACGCGCGCGCGGTACGTGGCCCCCTCTAGCGGCGCTTACTTCGGCCGGCGAGGAAGATCTCGAGTGCGTTGTTCTGCAGCAGGTACTGGCGGCAGAAGATGGCGCGCACTTCTGAGAAGTGCCACTTTCCGTGGATGTTCTCACAATACGCAAAGCACCTGTGTGTGTGAGACGGACGTGATGTATAGCAATATACAGGACGCTGCCCAACCTGTGATTCATGAAAATAGTAAGGCTTTCTCTTTTCTTGCAGCAGGCGGCCATTTTGTTCGTATGTTATGCGCGCAATGAATGATGGGACTAACTCTAGATCACGCGAGAACAACGTGAACGCGTGATCCATTATGGCTGCGCCCACAATCGCCAGATATTTCTCGGCTCACAATGTAAAAAACACATTAATTTTCAAGTCGTAAAAAATCGTAAGTTTTTCAGTTTGATCGTACATTCGTAAAAACATCTTGGAATTAGTAAGGAATACGAAAAAACCGTAAGGGTTGGCAGCTCTGAATATATGATGACGATTCATCGTGTTGTCTGTCTGTCTGTCTGTCTGTCTGTCTGTCTGTCTGCCTATCTGTCTGTCTGTCTGTCTGTCTGTCTGTCTGTCTGTCTGTCTGTCTGCCTATCTGTCTGTCTGTCTGTCTGTCTGTCTGCCTGTCTGTCTGTCTGTCTGTCTGTCTATCTATTTATCTATCTTTCTCTTCGAGGATGTTCTCACAGTAAGCAAGCACTGGAGTGTGAGAGACGGACGTGATATAGCGATAACGATTCATCGTGTTGTCTGTCTGTCTGTCTGTCTGTCTGCTTGTCTGTCTGCCTATCTGGCTGGCTGCCTGTCTGTCTGTATGTCTGCCTGTCTGTCTGTCTGTCTGTCTATCTATTTAACTATCTTTCTCTTCGTGGATGTTCTCACAGTAATCAAGCACCGGAGTGTAAGACGGACGTGATATAGCGATAACGATTCATCGTGTTGTCTGTCTGTCTGTCTGTCTGCCTGTCTGTCTGTATGTCTGCCTGTCTGTCTGTCTGTCTATTTAACTATCTTTCTCTTCGTGGATGTTCTCACAGTAATCAAGCACCGGAGTGTGAGATGACATGATGGAAGGTGTGTAGCGATGATTCACCACGCTGTCTGTCTGTCTGTCTCTCTCTCTCGCTCTCTCTCTCTCTTTCTCTCTCGCTCTCTCTCTATCTCCCTCTCTCTATATCCATCTCTCTATCCTTTCCTATCATTTCTTCTCCTCCCCCTTTCTCTCTCTCTATCTCACTCTCTCCCTCTCTCTCTCTCGCTCTCTCTCTCTTTCTTTCTCTCTCTCTCTCTCTTCTCTCCCTCCCCTTCTCCCTCCCTCCCCCTCCCCCTCTCCCCGCATACCTCTGGGTCCAGCTTCCCGTTCTCTGGGTCGTCGTCATCCATGTCAAAGTAGATGTCAGACTGTGTGATGGACAGCATACCGGTCACGACTAGTCCCAGACCGATCATGCGTGCACGAGTGTTAAACGCCACCGTGCCTGCAACGACGACAATGATGATGATGATGATGATGATGATGATGATGAAATAAATACACATCACACACACCCGTGTTCTAACGCAGCCTTCAGCGTGGCCTCGGGGTGCGTGGATCCGAGAGGGTTGTGCACCAGCCGTCGCCGCCGCCTGAAGTCATCCTCCCAACGATCCAGCTTCCAAAACTGATCCTGCAATTCGCACCATTGCTATAGAGTATCGCTAACGACATAAGCTAATGAAGATCGCTAACGAGAATCGCTAACAGGAGGTCTTTGCTGGCTAAGACCGCGCTGATTGGGCAACAACCGTAAATGGCCCCACAAATTAGACTACATTATTTGCACCAAATAAATTCAAATTAAATTGGTAAACCCCTCAAATTTAATTAATTAATTAATCTAGTTTTACGTTAATCACTCAAATTAACTAATTACCAGACTAGGAAAGCTGCATGGCACACGAGTACGATGCCGCTATTTACTCAACTATTTTACTCCAAAACTTA